GGGATCTATCAAAATTTATTTGGAGAGGAAAAAAGCCCAGATTAGATTTTAAAACTTTACAGCTGCCCAAAGATGGGGGTGGACTTGCTCTTCCAAATATAATGTATTATAACTGGTCTTGCCATAGTAGATCCAATCATGAGTGGATACATACATATTTGAAAGGTAAAGAAAGCCCACTTGAATCCTGGGTATGTACTCCCTTTTCATTGATAAGTGAACTTATGAGAAAGAAAAAAACTGCACATACTAATTTACTGATTGACAATAATATAAAAGTTTGGCGAGATATGAACAAATACACTTCCACTATTCCCAAACTTTATTATTTGACACCATTGATGAATAATTCAGATTTTTCCTCTGGAGTAAAAAGTGCTGTATTCCAAAGATGGTATAGGAAAGGAATAAGGGTAATTGGTGACTTATTTGAAGGCAATGTCCTAATGTCTTTTATTCAAGCTCAGGGCAAATATGGAATTTTACAAAAAGGACTTTTCTTGCAGGTTCGACATTTTATCCAGGCAAATTTTAGAATTAATCAAGGAACAATGTTGCCAGGACCCATAGAGAAATTTATGATGGACCTCAATGTGAAGAAATCTATTATTAAGCAATCTTGTGCCAGTTTGCAGGACTCTAATGGACACAACATTGGGAAGTTGACTGAGCGATGGGAAGAAGATCTTCAATGTCACTGCGATGAAAATAACTGGAAAGATTGTATTCAAACTACTCACTCACTATTTCTTAGCAATAAATACAAGGAAACTCAGTATAAAACACTGCATCAACAGCATAGGACACCGGTTTTTCTGAACAAGATAGACTCACGTAGGTCGCTCTTATGCCTTCAATGTAAAATAACTGATGGGACATACCTACATTGTTACAAGACCAGCATTTTGATATTTTCGGACAACTCCATAAACAAAGGAAATTAGTGTTATACTGAGGAGAAGAATTTGGAAAGACCCGGGTCAGTTTCTGTTAGGGCTGCCATGTTCTAATAATTCAAGAGACAAGAATAAATCTAAATTACTAGGTAAGCTTCTATTAGCACAAAAGTGTATTTCACTTAACTGGATAAAAGACAAACCACCAACAGTGACACAGTGGTATAAGGAAAGTATTACCAATGGAAAGAATCGCCCTAAGTCAGCTGGGGTAGGCTCCAGCCCCCCCCCCCCCGCGAGCCGAGTGAGGATTAAGCAGTGTATAGATAATGGATGGATGGATGGATGGATGGATGGAAAGAATTAGTGCAAAATTGAGTGGCAATGATGACACCTTTTTGGATCTATGGTGCCCTCTATTGGAATACTTGCCCGGGGACGTCGATCTCCCTTGGAGGGGTGCGGGCTTGACGTGGAGGGCTTTGGGCCTAGCCGTTTGAATATGGATAAAGAATGATTGGGGCAATTTTTGTTGTTTTGGTAACTCAGACTGCTCACTGTTCATTGTTCTGTACTTTTTTTTTTTTTTTTTAATTAGAAAAAAAAACAAAAAACATTATTTGGTCTTGTGTTTGTTTGATTAAAATAATATGTGAAAATTTCAATAAAATATATATTTTTAAAAAAATCTGGTTTTATCAAACGTGCGCATGGAGGTCGTACGCACATCAGTGTTGATAAATCCCACTTGTTCTTAACCTCCGTGGTTGTGCACGTTGCCTTCAGAAACGCCTCCAAATCACCATATACGGCAACAACATGCCTCTTTATTAAGCAAGTGAAGATTTATTTTTTCCTCACCTGTCATCATCATCATGGCAAAAAGGGCGAAAAAGAGGAACTTTTCTGAAACTGAGATCGAGGTACTTGTCAGTGAGGTTGAAGCAAACCAGAAAATATTGTTTGGTGCTCGAAATGTTGGGAAAAGCAGGGAAAGAAAAAGAATGCTGCATGGGACAAGATAACTCCACACGTCTTTTCAGCTCTGCCCACAAATTATCTGCAGGATTGACATCAGGGCTTTGTGATGCCCACTCCAAAACAGTGACTTTGTTGTCCTGACGTCACTGTTTCAACCAATCTGGCAGTATGCTTAGGGTTATGAAAAAAATTACATACCCATAATAAAAACAGTTTATCTCTGCAACCACAAGGTCTATTTGAATAATTCTTGTGTCATAATTAAAGGAACACTTGTAAGATTTGTTAAGATGTTTAAATATCAGTGTATATGTTACTGGTTAAAAGTAAATGTAGATGGCACACACACAAATTAAAAAAATTCAGGTTTGCCTAAAAAAAAGCTATTTCAGCATAATTATCGTGTTGGATTGATCCAGCTGCTATGGAGCCCGTCTGGTGACATCGATAAGAAATAAAAATAACTCGTTCCCACGCAATAGTAAGTCGTGGCCACGAGATATTAATGCGTGGGAACGACATAATTATCACATGGTGTTTCGTCGCAAGAGATCGCAGGATATCGGTGTAGTTCATTCCAAGGTTAAAATAAAATGAAATCAAATCTAAATGCTCCATGTTTCATGCAAGTACACCCGTTATCCTTAATTGACAGCTGTTGTGACCGCACTGTGAAATTTGCTCCACAGCTTCTCTTGTTTCCTCATATTAGTAATGCGAGGCCAAAATTTAACTATGTCGTTCCCACGCATTAACAACTCGTGGCCACGATTTACTAATGCGTGGGAATGAGTTATTTTTATTTCTTATCGATGCCATCAGATGGGCTCCATAAGCTGCAGCTCTAAATCTCTCCCAAGTCCTAGCACTATATGGTGAACATTCTCTCTGCAAAGGTTGACTCTGATAAAGTGAAGCAGAACAAAATTACAAAGTTTTTAGTCCAGATTGTTCAAGCGAGGAGACATTTTGGCACACTTGTGACCGTCTGAATGTTCTTATGTACTAACTATACATTTAACTTGTATTTCACTAATGGTGTTCAATACATCCAAATACAGCAGTTTTTTTAGTTTTTTTTTTTTTTAATCCAACCAGACCGCTGTCTGTGTTACACATCCTGTGCGTAACGCTGATTTGACAGCTGTGAAGCTTCTGTGGTGACGCAGGGCTGTATCTCTGTCATGGATTGGTCGATTTCTGTGATTGACACCGCCTTCGAATCGTTAGAGCCAATAGAATATAGCGAGATTGAAAGCACTTTTAGCCAATCAGAATCAGCAGAACGCCATTTTTTAGATGAGCTGTTCGCACAGTAGTGCGCACTTGGGTAGCGCCCTAAAGCTAATGGAACCTTCAAAACATGCCCAGAGTGATTTCCGTGTGACACAGGAAGTAGTACTAACTGATTTCAGTGTGGATTTACCGATAAAATAAATTTTTCATGGAAAAACAGCTAAGGTAAGAGACATTTTACAACTACAGTTTGATGAAGCGGTTTCGGTTTTTGCTGTTCTTTGGGTTATTTCTTGCCGATGCTTTGATTTTAGAGAGCTTTGATGGATATGTTTAGAATCTGTGGACTGTCTGCTTCAGTTTGAGGGGTTGGTTGTGTGTTTTGCATAATGTACCGAATCACTTGAGCCAGAAATGTGGCGAGTGGGTTGACTTGGTGGCGCTATATCGATTTCCATATTTGATAATTAATTTAGTTGGTGTTTGAGCTGTGTTTGGGTCATGTAAAAATGGGTGATACATTCTTGTAGTCCAGGTTCTGCTGTTTAATTTGATGTGCAGCATCACTATATTCTTTCATGATGAGTACATTCTTTCACACTATTTCTTTGTGTAAAACCCGAGAGGCCCCCAATTGGCCCCCAATTATTTCCACTTCATGTTCTTTCCTCATGATGCCATCTATTTTGTGAAGTGCACCAGTCCCTCCTGCAGCAAAACACCCCCACAACATGATGCTGCCACCTCCATACTTTACAGTTGGGATGGTGTTCTCAGGCTTGCAAATTTCCCCCTTTTTCCTCCAAATGTAATGATGGTCATTATGACCAAACAGTTCAGTCTTAGTTTTATCAGACCCAGGACATGTTTCCAGAAATTAAGGTTGTTGTCTCTGTGTGCATTTGCAAACTGTAATCTGGCTTTTTTATGTTCCTTTTGGAGTAATATCTTCTTCCTCTCCGAGTATCCTTTCAGCCTATGTCGGTACAGGACTAGTTTCACTGTGGAGAATGACACTGTCTTACCAGCTTCAGCAGCATCTTCACAAAGTCTTTTGCTTTTGTTCTGGGGTTGATAGGCACATTTCACACCAAAACACTTCATCTCTGGGACACAGAACCTGTCTCCTTTCTGAGCACTATGATGGCTGGATCATTCCCATGGTGTTTATGCTTGTGTATAATTGTTTGAACAGATGATCGTGGAACTTCCAAGCATCTGGAAATTGTACCCAAGGATGAACCAGACTTGTGGAGGTCAGCAATTCTCTCCTTGACATCTTGGGTGATTTTTCCATGTTGTCACAAAAGGAAGCAGTGTTTGACGTTTGCCTTAAAAAAACATCCACAGGTGTGCCTCCAATTAACTCAAATGTTGTCAGTTAAACAATTAAAAGCTTCCAAAGTCATAACATCATCATCTGGGCTTTCCCAAATAGTTTGAAGGCATAGTAGTCTTAGTGTATGTAAACTTCTGACTTTAAAGCAAATAATAACAAAAAATCTCCCTCTCATTATTCTGGCATTTAGCAAATAGAAATAATTTTGGTAATCCTAACTGAGCCAAAATAGAAAAAGTTCAGTCTGATTTAATGTCATACAGTGAAGGAAAAAAAAGGTTTTGTGTCTTTTAATACAGTTCATGTAAACTTCTGGTTTCAACTGTACTATAGCTTTTCTTTACATATTCATGCTATTTCTTTGGAAACTTCTCACTTAATGTTGAGAGAAAAAAGCATGTGTGACTTGTTATGCCCAGCTCCATCACGGATTCAAAATTGTTGCTACCACCTTCATGTATTACATAAATCATAATAATTTAAACAGTTTACCAGCAAGTATGAAGTTTTGTTCAAAAGAAAGAAAAGACTCATCAGACACATTTATAATTGGCCAGGAACAAGTTTTATATAAAATTTGAACAGTGGATACAGAGGCGATATTATGTGTATAAAAAAATACATACAATAAAAGGAAAATAAATGAATCTTATCTTTTTTTCTATTTTGAGCAGATGTTCAAGTTAGCTGATGAAATGTAAAAGGCACTAAATGTACAACATTCCAGTTTTAAAGAAGTTAAACAGAGGCCAAGGTCATTCAGAGATGAACTGAAAAAAAAAAAAAAAATCACAGGGCATTTTGTTGTCTTTGATATGCAAGACATAGTGCAGATTTTACAACATAACATACCAAACAATTCTCAAATAACACACAACTATTTACCATCAACGAAACACTGAGCGCGTGCTTTAAGACTCGTTGTGAGGAAACAGTGCAGCCTGCATTCACTCAAAACACCACACGGAGCGCCAGAGCTCGTTCAGATCAGAAATCTTTCATAATTTATAGTTTACATCACAATTTCTACAACAGCACTTAACACTGCAACAAGTCACAATTAGGAGCAAAGCGACCAGCAGTGAATGGTTTGTCAGTATCTTACATTGTTGTTTCTTTTTCCTTTTGGTCAATACACTGAAATACATGCTGCTAACTAGTAAACAAACTAAACAACAGAAACTGACAGAAAAGACTCAAAGATGGAGGACGACACAGTGCCTGTATGGTTTGGTGTCACAGCCGCAGTCGAGCCAAAATGGACTGAATCAAGACTTTTTGTCAGTCAGAAAGGTGTTGTAAATGAAAATGTGGGAATAAATAAGTATCTAAACCCACACAGAAATTAAGTTAAAACAAAACTCTGCAAGGAAAAACAGCTATGTTGACTGTGAATGGCTAAACAGCCTAGCATTGTGCATTTATGCAGTTTATTTAGAATTCAAAAGATTTCACATTCTATGAACACACTGTGGCAGCAACACAAAGAGTAAACATGATGTTCATGATACAAACTGTACCGCTCTGTTACTCTTGACTCCTAGCACAACTGACAGCTTAGAATTTCACTTAAATATTTCTAAATTTAGCATTTAAACGCAATTATAAACACAGTACATGATTAAGAATGCACTGTATATTGACAAACACATTATTAAACACCTATCTGCTTACAGCGACATTACAGTGGGTTATAAACCATTTATTTAAAGTTTAGTGTTTAGAAATGCAAACTGGGAAGATGTCACATGTCCAACTCTTCTATACCAAGAAATTAAAGCGTTCCAGTTAGCCTCAGCTCTTTGAGGAGATTGCTGCTAACATAGCATGCTAACATGCTAACTGCTAGCATGTTCTGCTTCTTAGCGTTAGAACAGCTATAGCGGTACTCTATAACATTGTTAGCAAGTTAGCGATCTAACAAGCGAAACATTACATTCTTAAAAGCTAACTGTTGGCATTGTTAGCTAAAATAATAACTGGCAACATTTTAAATTATTGCATAACATTCATCTGTATAACAAATGAATGTGAAAATATAAGGATATGTCTTCCTTTTATGCCTATTTTGTAAATCAAAATAAACTCTGCATTACTTTTTTTTTTTTTTTAACTGCTCCACCACTCAAAGATTTTATTGTCCTTGCTAACATTTAGCTGCTTCAGCAAATTAATTAAATTTTTACAGAAAGCATGGTTATGTTTTCATCTGTTAATCCCAACAGCCTGTTGACTGTACCACGTCTATATGTCACTCTTCAGTCATCTGATGTAGAAAACTTTTGTACTTTGCTTCACCGTCTCCAGAATCGAAAGGCCCAAACATCATAGCTCCACTCAAAAACATTGTAAAGCACATTTGACTTTGACTTCCATCTCTTTTTTCCCTGTTCTGCTGACTGCATGAACACAGCTGACTGACAAAGGAAAGGAAATATTTTGTCTATTTTCCATTTATCATTAATGAACTTTTGAACATAAATCGCTGTAGTTGTAATTATTTATGATGCATGTTATCCGTGTTAGTGGACTTTAATAGTGAGACTAATTGTTTGCCCTGTTGGGATGATAATGTTGTACATTACTTACAGTTTTTGCTTTAACAAGTGAGATGTGCTTTAAGGTCTTAATTCCTGCATAACATTAGGCTTGTCTGACTCATTTAAATCCACTGGGATCAGCAGACGAAGGAAATACAAATCTACGCCATCTATGACATTCACAATGACACAATCAACCCTACGTAAGAAAAAGAAGCAATACAATGTGCTGTCAGTGGTTTCTGTCAAATACACTCCTCCAACATAATATTCAACATCCTGGATGTAATTAACAATTTCATCTATTTCAACAGACTTTATAGCATTATAAATCTTTCTTTCCAGTATGCTGCCTCAATTGAGAACAACCTGTGCATTTAATTGCAAAACTACTCCAGATTATTTCATTTAGAAGAGTCCTGCAGAATTCAGGCTCAACTTTAAACTGTAGGAGCAGACTGCAAATCATTCTGGTTGTTGGTATAAGAGTTTACATTTTGAAGCTGTGTATTCTGGTTATAGTCCATCTTTTCAATATGTAGACAGCAATGCAAGTCATATTTAAGCAATAGATTGTTAAAAAAATAACAACAAAAAAAACGCAAAACTCAAGAAAGTCACATTATTTGTTTTTGTTGTTCAAAAAAAAAAAAAAAAAAAGAAAAAAGCTTAATTCATTCCATTTTGAACTGACAGGCTGGACACCTGCTGCAGGCATATCAGAGTGTCTGGTGACAAATAATTAAGACTAAAGAGAGAAAAACATAAAGCATGCCACCATCTGTCTGGACCTCTACAGCAAACTACTTTCCACCTCTGGAAAGTCATCCACAGCCATACCACACTGGAATGAGTTACAGTAAACAGCACTATATCTTACATGACGAGCAAGAAATATATACAAACACTGATCAGCGTGGAAATCTACTGCATTCGGAATCACAAGCTGAAGCTGAAGGCGTTTAGAATGTATGCAACACAAATATCATTCTCATACGTAACCAAACCATTAACAAACAAAATCATAACATAAATTTGGCTTTTAAATGCTTTAAGACAAAAAAAACAAAAAAAAACAACAAGATTTTGGAATGCATTTAAAGCTTAAAAGCAACTGGAAAATAATAATTAAAAAAAATGTTGATATTACATATTTGGCCCATTAGTTTTGAAAAAAAAGAGCTTTACATAACACATAGATTGAAAAAAAAAAAAAGGACGGATATTTTCATAATCATGATTGTAGTGTTAGTAAATTGCATGCAAACAGTGTATTTAGAAGTTGTTCTGTTCAACAAATGACATCTCCCAGTTCTCATAAAAAGGAGATATATTTCACCTCAATTGAACATTTACTTTCAACATGCGTATTTTAAAATGAACTAAAGCTAACGTGAAATAATGAACTGCCACTCTTAAATTGCACCTGCAAACAGGCAGAAAGGCTTGGATGGAGAAGCAGAACTAAAAAGAAAAATCAACATGGGCTGCATTGCCTGTGTGTTTATATGTGCTTGTAAAAAAAACTGAGACACAAACGGAAACTCAGTGTGGCCGCAATTAATTAAAAACCGAAAGATGCTGTATGTTCCACTGAGGTGAAAATCAAAGAGGGAGGCAGTGTCTTTAAAAAGGTACCACAACGACATGCCAGAACTTTTACAGAGAACTGAAGCATTCACAGTAATACAACGTCAGACGGCTTCTTCTTAAAACTAGTTGAGGAGTACCAAAGTTATTTCTGTAGATGTTATTACAACTGCATGCAAAGTTACTGAAGGCAATGTAAAATCTACCTCTACATTATACGCCTCTACAAAACAAGATCACTATGGAAGTGCCCGACGGTGGAGATGAACTGTGGCTTCAGCAGACTGTTGCACCAGCTACATGTAAAGCAATTACGATGCTTACATTATGAAGCTGAAATGGCGACTTTTTAATGTCTTCTGGCAGGCGTAATGCTGGACAGACAGAGTGCGGATTAATCGCAGCACCAAGAAAAAAAGTGTAATTTGACGATCATTTGGACGATTGGGACGTGCTGTCGGGGAAGATGCCAACAACAGCCTCGGACCAGCAACGCTTATACTGGAAATTTCAAGTTTTACGCAAGATTTGGCTCGTGCAGTAAGGCAGTCCTACTTGTTTTTTTTTTTGTTTGGGTTTTTTTTTTTTTAACAAAACAATTCCCCCGTCAATATTTTGCAGAGGCACCATCACTGCATCCTGGGCTTAGGGCCGCCCAAAAAGACTGACTGCTTTAAAGGGATACGAACTACAAAGATGTGTTTTATCAGAATAATTACAGGATTATTTATCTGCATTATCTGGCTGAACAACTTATCTGGTTGAATTGAATGCAAGTCAGATCTTCTTGTAGCAGTTTGACTTGTTCTGGTCAGATTTCTCACAGATCAATACATACTTTTGTGCAGAAAGAGTTTTTTTTTTTTTTTTTACACGTTTTGATTGAGATTGTGCTGCAAAAAGGGACTTTTTCTGAGCCATTAGTCCAAATTTTGTTTTTTTTTCCCTTCTTACTTTCTGTTGTCTGCAAATATGATTTGATTTGTTGTCAAAAATGTAATAAATCGCTGACTATTTTTGTAATTGCATAATCATTTTTTGAAGAAATATTGCAGCTTCCTAAAAATTTATTTTTTTCTGATTTCTTTCCTCTGTGACAGTAAACTGAGTATCTTTAGGTTGCAGACAATTCAAGATATTTGGGCTATTTGGAAACACGGACTGATATTTTTTCACCATTTTGTGATATCTTATAAACCAAACAACTAGTCGAGAAAATAATGGAAAGATTAGAACAGAAAGAGGGCTGCGAACAGAAAGAGGGCTGCAGCTAATGATTATTTTCATTTTCAGTGGAAATAATCATTAGCTGCAGCTCTCTTTCTGTTCAGAGTGTAACTGCACCATTTGCACCAAAAAAAAAAAAAAAAAAATGGTGGAAACTGTTGAATAAAATCAGATGCAGTGTGAGCACCAAAGCCTAGAAAGGCAGGTAAGGTTAGTGCAACAAACATGACGAATAACGTCTGCCCAGCTTTACTCTTTCCTTATAATCAATGAGAAGCATATTGTTCGTGATATCGTTTTACATTTACGATGTGGCTGACATGCACATTTAATGAATAACTACAGTCTGCTGTTTATAACAGAAGTATGTAAGTTGAGGTTTTGACGTTGGCAGAATTTCTTTGATATTTATTGATGTTTCTGTAGTTTATGACACGCTGGTCGCACAGCCATGAATATAAAGCACCAAAATACCGCACGAAGCGATTGATGAACGAGGAGGTGATGAAGGTCGAACAAACGTGTGATATAATACGTTGCTTGTTTTGTTTTTTTTTTATATCTAGTTAGTTAATAGTGGCTTCCTTTTCCATTTTAGTTTAATGCTTCTCTGGATAAAACATCAATTCTTGCCTTGATGTTTTGAAAAGCTTTTCCTTGGTTTGGATGCAGGTAGCTTAGGTAGTGATTGTTAGTGCACTCTCAGATTTACCATTTTGAGTTGGTGCAACAGCCTGCAGAAGGTTTTTTTTTGTTCGAGGGCACAAAGCTACGAGGAATAAAGTAAAGTATTTTTACACTTGGAATGATATCTATGAAGGCATTCTTATTTTTACTTTGATCCCTGTTTTGGAGAACAATTTCAAGGCTGATGTGATGGAGTGATATCAACTTGTGTTTTCTTAGTTTTTTCATCTTCACAACAAAGCACATGGAGACTTTATCATAGAACAGCATCATGCTTTCAGAGGACAAAATATGGAAAAAACAAGAAAGAAAGAGAGAGAGAGAGCGAAATAAACTGCACCAATTTTTGTCCCTGTTGATATATTCCCACCCTTCCCAAGAGCAGCTGATAGAGAGGTCTCATACTTTACTGTGTTTTTATTTATTTTTTGGTCCCCGGTTCCTCTTCAGTTTTTACGAATGTCAGCGTAGACCACTGGCTCCATCTTATGGAACGAGTTTTTGCTGCCTGAGTGATCCAACTGGGCGTATATCACCGGGCCCTGGAGCACAACAACAAAATGCACAAGTAGAAAAAGACATTCTGTGAGTGAAACACACAAACATATCCAGATGAATCACAGCAAGAGGCAAACAATTACCAGGAACTTTGATGTACACAGATGTTTTTACACCACTAGGTAAGTCTTTAAAGGTTTAATTAATGTCTATAATTAGCAATTAGGGTATTTATTTTTAGTAGGACATTTGAACGGCGGCTGTTCATTGTGAAAGTTTCTCGTAGGTTGAATTAGTGATTAGTCACCAGGGTATAAAGGCAAAAACACATGCACACAGGTGGTTATTTAAAACAATGACCTTAGACAATAAGTCCAGTAATAGAAAATTAATGAGAAAGTATTCAAATAAATTATGTGTCTTTTTTTTTTTTAGAAGTTGTACATATGCGCATATCTGGTTATTTGGTCATTCTTAGTCTTTATTCTACATGCTTGTATTTTCTATTTCAAATTCCTGTCTTTTTGGGCTGGAGGGGTTACTTTCTCAAATGTAAAGATTTGGTGCTTTTTTGTCATATTTGACAGTTGAAGTGCTAGTTAGATAACAAAAGGCATCATCTTGGGATTCAGAAAATTGTAGCTTGTATTTCTTATTATTATTGAAGAAACAGCACGATTTTGAGGAAGGGAGATACAAATATTTTAACACAGCTGGAGTGTCACTTTTGAATCCATATCAAATAGAAAACTAGTAATTCTTCTTTTCTTTTTTTATTTTTTTTGGATAATTACTTTAATAGCAAATACAAGACATGTCCCTCATGGCTCTCACACATTACACATTCCTGGCACTTTTATTAAAAATAAACCATTTTAGCAGCAAATTCCTTTCTTATTTCTTTGTAGAAATTCTTTTTATTTTAGTTTTTATAGTTTTATTGGTTCTTATTTGGCCACACATGTCAATTTCAAAGTCAAATATAAGGATCTGTGGATAATCGGTTAATCGGTTTGATCATAAAGGCCAGTGTGTAGCATTTAGTGGGATCTTTTAGCAGAACTGGAATCAAATTTTCAGAATGATGTTTATTGTTATTTGTTTATTAATGTATAATCACCCGAAAATCAGAAGTGTTGCCTTTTTTGTCACGGAAGTGCCTTTTTCAGAGTCTTCGTTGGTTTAAATCTGCAACTTAACTGAGAGATGCCAATAAATTCTACACACTGGTCCTTCAACTTCCATTGTCCAAGTGAAAAGAGACAAATAAAAGCAGAAAGGAAATGTAGTTCAGCACATAATGTAGATCAAACAGCAGGTGAAGTTGCTGTTTCTAGCCTTTGTGCTAACCTAGACAAATTGACTGTAACTTTATATTTAAAAGAGATTTATTGAGCTCCTCGTACTGCTGCTTTCCATAAGTTTTACACAAATAAACTTCAGTGTTATCAAACTTGCATTAAGGTTTTAATGACTAATTTGAACCAAACAGTGGAGCTGCAGATAAAGACATATTTTCAGGTATGTTTGGATAAACAACACGGCCACATTAATGCGACCCTCTCCCAGAGAAATGGTGGCAGCCGGTGGATTTCTTTGTCCCCCAGCTCCTACCTGTAGTGGACCCGAGGGACCGGTACACCTGGAGCCCTCCAGGCTGGACTCCACCTTCTTTCGTGGCTGCGGAGCATGAGAGCTCACGCTTTCCAAGGACGTACATCTAGTTTAGGGTTACGATTTGCCGTGGTGTCGAGCAATCATTGGGGCACAGTCAAATTGAGACAAACACAAATAATGGGACACAAGACAAAAATAAAACAATGAGAGATGAGCACATGAAACACTGCAGCTGAGAGCAGACTAGAGATGCACTGATGGGATTTAGACGACATCAGACTGGTGGCCAAGAGGCTTCCAAGTATTCAAAATAAAATGAAGCAGTTTAGTATTGATAGTTTTGATTTTGAATTTGATAATAGACTCTTTGGCACAATATTTTGTAGTACACATAGATCGCACAGGTTAAATATCACGGTTTTAATAATAAATCTGCAGTTTATCATACTTTGAACTTGATTATTTTTATTGACTAACCTTCCTGTTTGTGTTCTACACTTGTATGTTCAAATAAGACTTTCTTTTATGTTTTTTTTTTGGTTTGTTTTGTTATGTTGTGTGCTTTGTTTTTTTTTTTACTCTTGTTACTATTCCTTGATTATATATAATTACTGCTGTTTTCGCTTCTCACATAGAATAGAATAGAATAGAATAGAATAGAACTTTTTTGATCCCTTTGGTGCAAACCTCAGGGAAATTGTTGAATATGTGAGCATTTGCAGTTTTTCTTTATTATGTATGTGTTAGCAAATTGGAATAACTTTGGGTTTTAAGTAATATGAAGGTCTCAACTTGGGGTTTAGAAAACTGAACGGGAATTTTACACTGGAACTGGCAACATAAATCCAACAGCCCAACAAATACAAGCAGCCATACAGATGCTTTGGTAGATAGAGCTGATGGTCTGAGCTGACAATATAAATGCAACAAAAAGATGCAATAAAGTGCAGAATATCTAGCCGTTTTATTAGACTACTGTATACTGAATTAACTAATAGGAGACAGCTTTATGACGTCCAGGCAAAATACCAGAACAACTGTTAATTAGAGTTAAAAGTTAAAGTTAAGAGATTCGTCGATTGACAGAAACTTGACTGTAATGAACATTTTTCACAATTGTTGTTCATTTTGCACAATAAACAATTAATCAAATCGATGAGAATAAAGCTGCAACACTTAGTTGGTTAATAAATGAGCTAAGTGAACAAATAATGAAAAGTTTAGAAAATCAATTTATTGTTAAATGTCAAGCTAAAATCCCTACACTAACCCTTACCCTATCCAGTGTGAAGCTTTCTGCTTTACAACACAGAAAACTAAATACATTTTGGCTTTCATGTCAAATAAAATAAGTCTCCCTGAAGGCATCACCGTGAGCTCTGGGAAGTTAAAACATATGCTTTTTGTTTAAAGATCAAACAACAAATTGATTGACAGAGAAAATGATCCACTGGTTTGTACTTGGATCTTCACCAATTATTCAGTCCATGAACTGCCGTAGAATTTAACAATCAAACAGCTTATCAGTGCATCTCTAGTAAAGACACTGTATAACAGCATATACAGGTGAGAGATGCAGTTTACCTGAAAACTCAACATGAATGCTACGTGCTGAATAAATGAGCTGTCACCTTTTTGTCCTGTGATTTCTGGGTGACTGAAAACTGTCAACAAAAAGCCTCTAAACATTTTGTTGTTTCATCAAAAAAAAAAAAAAAAGAAAGAAAGAAAGCTGGTGATGGAAGTGTGTTATTGATACGGAAAAAAGATGAGGAAGGTGGTAAGTTTTGGATGTTACTGGTAAAACAGGACAGACAAAGACAGTGATTATATGAACTGAGGTCACGCGATAACTGTGAGAAACCTGGTTACAGCAGAAATCTGATAAGGGGAAATCAATTTCTCCACAAGTTAAGCTTATGTGCAGTTTCGTTATGTATTTAAGTCTGTTGCACTCTTTCATGGCAGGCAACATTAATAGAGTTTATCGCTCATCGTGCTACCAGGAAAAATCATTTTGCAGAGAATCTGATGAGGAAACCAGGTTTGGAAAATCATCTACTCCGACCTCTGTAACCAGGTTTCTTCTTTACATTTGATGGTTAAGAAATCACCTTAGGCTACGTTCAGACTGCAGGACTTAATGTTCAATTCGGATTTTTTTGCTCGTTCGTTCATATTTCTCATTAAATGTGACATGTATGTGATCTCCTGTGTGAACTTCATACAACCCAAAAGTGTCCCGCATGCGCAGAAGACGTCACGTGCAGCAAGCATGCTTGGTGTTCGCAGAAGTAAACACGGATGGCAACGGTGGAGCGTATCTTGCGATTTTAAAGTTGTTGTCCAACCAGAGCCAGCACATTTACAATGTAATCATTTTAAGGAAAAGATTAAAAAGGAAGAGAGCCAGGTTTTTGGCCATGGCGTTTTGTGGGGCAGTGGCAGCAACGTCTGTACAGAGAAATGTGTGGGTGTGGAATTGCAGCCAGGAATGGTGGGAGAGTGATGTGAGAGGCTATACTTTGCTACTTGAATGCAGAATAGTGACGTTTGTCGTGTATCAATGACGTGTAGGTCGGATAAATGTGACCTGGCCGTTCAGACAGAAGTCTGACTCTGAGATATCTACATATCCAAGTGGCCTGGGTTGCATTTGGAAAAATTGGATCTGTATTGTTCAGATTGTCATGAAAAGATCAGACACAGGTCGCATAGGGGCAAAAAAAGAAAAATCGGAATTGGCTCACTTTAGAGTACTGTCTGAACGTAGCCTTAGATTAGAAAACAGAATGTAATCAGGTTATTTAATTTCATATTAGTGCACTGAATGACAGGACAACATGTTGACAATGAGTTCATCAGTGATGTTAATAGAAAGCGACGTTGTGAAATTAGTTGTACTAACACAACGTGATGGAGGAAAGTGACCGGCACCAGTGCAAACAGCAACCCCAAAGATTGCTCGTACGTCAGCCCACCCAACAGACAGAGCACGAACTGTCAGAGGTTTAACAACTCAGAATTGAGTTTTAACGCTACTTCAGCATCTAGGACATCTCTCATGTATGTGGTTCTCTCATCGAGTTGAACCGACTAAGTTCATGAGTGTCGCTGAAGTATGCGAGGTAGACATGGCCAAACAACCTTAAAGCATACAAAGTATGTTTGACAAATACACACGTGGACAAAATTGTCGGTACCCCTCGGTTAATGAAAGAAAAACCCTAAACGGTCACAGACATAACTTGAATGTGACAAAAGTAATAATAAATAAAAATTCAATGAAAATTATGCAATGAAAATCAGACATTGCTTTTGAACCATGGTTTAACAGAAATATTTAAAAAAATAAATTCATGAAACAGGCCTGGGCAAAAATGATGGTACCCCTAGAAAAGACTGAAAATAATGTGACCATAGGGAC